AGGAGGATGGGGGTGCAGTAGGGCATGACTCAAGGCACACATGGATTTTTTTTTTCAATTGCACTTTGGGGGCACACTTACAGAAGAGGCCAGTTTTCTGTCCCACGAAGTCAATGCGCTCTGTGCTGGGGCATTGATTGCAATGTCCTCCCTCGGCTCCCCCTTTCCATCGTCCGTCGGTCCTGGCCCAGTCTGTCTCTGGCTGTGGTGGCTGGGCGGGTGCTGCCCATGCCTTGCCACCAGAGGGTCTGGATGAAAGAGTTCATTCCTGCCTGGTGGGTGGCTCACTTTATAGGCCAGGCTGCTCTTTGGCTCAGGAGAAAGACGGGGCTCTCTACTCCCATAGAGAGTTACAGTCTGGACAAACCACAGGGTCAGTTCTTCCCTGTCCTATAGGGTCACTAGGAGTTGGTCAGCACGGCTCCATGACCGTGAATGAGTTCTTTGGCCACAGGTAGGTCTCTGAGGGCAAGTTCAGCTTGAAGGGCGGGTAGATTTTCTGTCTTAAACAAGTGGATGAGGATGGTACCCTAACATTGGGAGATTTCAAAGCCCACACCTTCCCGCCAGACAGGGAAGGATCCCTGGGGTCTATTCCTTGGGGACTGGGAGTTGGGGGTGTGAACCTGCCCGGAGCACAGTATCAAGGAAACTTCAGCAAAGGGTTCTGATGGTTAGGGGCATTGAGGCTATAGAAGGAGCAGCCTGGGCCATGGGTCTTTGTGTCCGCAAACCAGCCAAGGCTGTGTGGCCTTGGACCCCTTTGAGCACAAATAAGAGAGAATCGTGTGCACCCCGTTAGGTTGTTGGAAAGTTCGGCGAGTTGAAACATGGCTCAGACATGCCTCCCCTGCATCCTCCTTTACCTCCTCTGATGCCAACCTTTCCTCCCACGGGACTCTGCATCTCTGCTGGGTTCTCTAATTCCTTCCACTGGTGACACAGACCTCACATACAGTACTCACCGTTGTGGGGGTTTATGAGGGTCCCTGGTGGCATAGTGGTTACCCATTAGGCCACCACCTGCACGGTCAGCAGTTTGAAGCCACCAGCTGCTCCTTGGGAGAACATCAGGCTTTCTACTCTCGTAACAGAGTCTCAGAAACCCACAGGGGCAGGTCTACCCTGTCCTCCGGTCTCACTGTGAGTCAGAATTAACTTAAAGGCAGAGAATTTGGTTTTGAGTTTTATTAGGGAAGGTAACAGGTCACCACTAGTCAGGAGCAGTAGATGGAAAGGACACAGTCACAGTGGATGGGAAGGA